ACGGCCCCCACCCCGGGGCGGCCGGGCCGGCACCGTCCGCCGCCGCCGCCGCGCCCCCCGGGCCGCCGCCGCACCACGACCCGCACTCCGACGAGGACACGCCGACCTCGGACGACCTGGAGCAGTTCGCCAAGCAGTTCAAGCAGCGGCGCATCAAACTGGGATTTACCCAAGCGGACGTGGGGCTGGCGCTGGGCACCCTCTACGGCAACGTCTTCTCGCAGACCACCATCTGCCGGTTCGAGGCGCTGCAGCTGAGCTTCAAGAACATGTGCAAGCTGAAGCCTTTGTTGAACAAGTGGTTGGAGGAGGCGGACTCCTCCTCGGGCAGCCCCACCAGCATAGACAAGATCGCGGCGCAGGGCCGCAAGCGGAAAAAGCGCACCTCCATCGAGGTGAGCGTCAAGGGCGCGCTGGAGAGCCACTTCCTCAAGTGCCCCAAGCCCTCCGCCCAGGAGATCACCTCGCTCGCGGACAGCCTACAGCTGGAGAAGGAGGTGGTGAGAGTGTGGTTTTGTAACAGGAGACAGAAAGAGAAGCGCATGACTCCCCCGGGAGGGACGCTGCCGGGCGCCGAGGACGTGTACGGGGCCAGCAGGGACACGCCGCCGCACCACGGGGTGCAGACCCCCGTGCAGTGAACTCGCGGCGGGGGCGCCCGGCCCCTCCTCCTCCTCTCCTCCTCCTTTTCCTCCTCTCCTTCCCCCAACTTTTGATTGTCCCGCCACACAAAGGCAGATTGCATTGTGGAATGTCGCTCGGTGTTGGCACATGCTGCTGTGTTTATTTTCTGTGGATCCCCTGTATGAAGGGGCGCGGAAAAAAAAAAAAAAAAAAAAAAAGGAAGAGAACTGAAAAGCTGAAAAGCTATCCCTTTTGATGTAGACAGTATTTAACCGTACCAATTTGCACTGCAAGAAAATCGAAGTTTACATAAACAAAATGTTTGTTTTTTTTCTTTTTTCCCCCTTCCTTTCCGACCTTAATTTTGCAAATGACTTGCATTTTCCACAGTGAGCGTTAGTCAACCAGTGACCGGTCCACAATATGTTGCTGTGTTTTAGCCTTTGCTTTATGTGTATATGTGAACTTTTGTTATAAACAAGTATTCTTAAATACGTGTAACGCTTATTTTCTCCTTTTACCATAGCAAAAAGAATTAGTATATGTGTGTGTATGTATATATATGCAAGCATGCATAGACATACATATGTACACATATATATAATCTCTCTATATACACATATATATGCACCTCCAGCTTCCATTCTCCAGAGATATGACTCTCGTAATTGTTTAACACATGCCTTCAATGGCAAGAGTCGAGTTTGGAGAAGGGAGAATAATGCAAATCAACAAAGTAAACTTCATTTTCAGGCAGTGTGTCCGGGGGTCGAGGCGCAACCAAAGGGGAAGGAAAAAAAATATGTGCAACCCTTCCAGACCGTGCCAGTGCAGGCAAGCAGGGCCTGGTGTGGGGAAGGCGGAGAGGGAACAACATGTTTCCAGAGTTTTCGCAGAGAAAGTGGCATTTTCTTGAGGGGGAAGGGGAATTATTTAGCTCCCCCACCACCACCCCCTCAGCGCCCTTTCCTTCCCCTCCTCCTCCCCCCCCCGCGGCTCCCCTGCGTGCCTTTGGCATCCCCGGGCTCGCCTCCCGGGCCGGTATCAGCCTCTAAACTTTCATTTATTGAGCAGTTTTACGTCAAGGCAGAACCAGGGAGAGCCTGAGGAGCTGCTGGGCCCGAGGTGGGGGTCGGGTGCTTACACCTGCCTGTAAACACACGCTGCCCCCTCCTCTCCACAGAGACCGTGTGCATTTCTTTTTCACTTTACTTTCCATATTTATTTTTTTTTATTTTCTATTTGTATCCAGCCCCTCTCCCTTCCCATCCTCCCCTTGCCTTTGGTCAGATTGTGGTATAATTTATTGAAGGAAAGGACCAGTTTTAACTTGGGCTGCCTTGTGTCTTTTACTGGGGAATGAAATGAAGTGGGAAAAAATGCCATTTTTCAATCTGTGTTTCCCCCCCCCCCCCCTTCGCTAATAGTTTTAAAGTGCATTTCGTGACATTATCTTGATGAGAAATGGTTAACTTTCCAAAATAAAAAAAGAGAAAAACCCACGGGGACAAAAAGAAAAAAAATGGAAAAAAAAAAAAGGAAAACTGAAAGCTCTGAAGGGAAGCAGAGGAGCGGGACCTCGGAGCAGCGCATATATGTGCGTGTGTCTGCGTGCGTGTTTGTGTACTTATGCACACACACAGCTATGCATATACATTAGAGGAACTTTATGATAGTTATAAATTCATAAAGAGATCATTTAGTCAGCACAAACGGGTGCTATAGAGACAAAGCATTTTTATAATCTAAAAGTTTACTTAGTTGAGTGTTGGACAATTATGGAGAAAAAACAGTGAAGCATTCTCTCGCAGAACTCTCCTATAAATATTGCATTCAGTAGCTAAGGCTTTAGAATATGTTTCTCATTGTCTTTTAAAATGCCTGTGACACTGGGTTTTCTTTCCTTCTTTCTTTCTCCCTTTCTTTCTTGCTTGCTTTCTTTCTTTCTTCTTGGTAAGACAGATGATGATTTCTAAGAGGCACATGCATTAGCCTTTTTCCTGGTTTTCCAACAATTGTTAAAAAGATACGGGCACCAAGCTTTTCTCTTTTCTTTCTTTTTTTTTTTTTTTTTATTTTTTTGGTTTGGTTTTTTAAAATTTTTTGTTTGTTTGTTTATGTGTTGAGCTGCTTGTTATTTAAAGTGTTGAGGACTAGCGCCTAGTGAAGTGAATCAGATCAGGGCAGATCCAGTGGTAAAGGGAGGAAATGAACTTTCAGACACTTATTAATATGTGCGTAAGGTCAGACAACGGAGTTGAGAGGACGTTTGAGAAAGCCTCAAACTCCAAATAGGTTTACTAAAAAAAAAGTTACCAAGCAAACCTTACCACTATGTATATATGTTTAATATTTGTCCTTTGAAATGCAGAAATAGTTTCAATGTTTTCTTTGTCTATTTTTCTTTTCTTTTCTTTTTTTTTTTTTTTTTAAATGCTACCCAGGGAAATATTTTCATATCATTTTTAAGTGGCCTGCCTCAATGTATATTTATTTCTTTTAAAGCAAACAGGTTCTGGAAACTGTTTTTCTGTAGCTTTAAATGAGTAGGTGAACAAAATCTATATGGGATGTAATTTTTTTTTTTGTTCAGTCTCTTTAAAAATACTTTGTTTTGGTACATTTGGATGTGCTTGTGGGGAAAAATAAAAACGCAGAGATCCTTATATATTTATGTTAAAGTAATATTTTATTATCTACATAAAACAGAAATGCACAATACCTTCATAGTTTCTTCTAATTATTGAAATATCGTTATTTTATTTTTTAAAGATAGCACAGATTTGCATAGTTCTTAAGATCTGGAGGGAGAAGACCCCAGTACTTATACTGAGCTGAGTTTCTGTGTAAAAGCACCGCCGTTCCTTTCTATTTCATGGAATTTTTGGAATAAATTTGATGCCTATACCGAGAGGTTCCACGCTTATAACTTTCAGGGTCTTGAAGGGGAGCCTCGGGAGCTGTGTTCATTGTGTCTCTCCGCAGATGAAGCACAGCCGTGTGTTTTGGAGCATTGATTTCTGTGCGGGTAGGGCTGTCCTGACTTTGATGCTGGTGGGGAGATCTCAAGTTTTTTGCATGCTCTGGCGGAAGGCATGGGGGGAGAAGAAGTTCGACTTTTCTCGGTCCCTTTTTATAATTTAACATCTGACTCGTAAAAAAAAAAAAAAAAAAAAAGAGAGAGAGAGAGAGAGAGAGAGAGAGAGAGAAAGAAAAAAGCAAAACAAAAAGGCGGGGCTTAATGATGGGAGTACTGTTTGAAGGAGGAAGGAAGAACGCGGCTGCCCAGCGGGGCTGCGCACCCTGGGCCGGGCCGGGCCCCTCGGCCGTGGCCCCGGTTTCACGTTAGGTGTCTGCGGCTCCGTGCGGTGACGAGCGGGTCGGTTCTGCCCGAGGGGTCCCGGCTGGGGACCCGCGGGGCTGGCGCGCTGACAAGCGACATCCACCTGCGCAGTGTTGGCAGGCGCGGCGGTGTGTTCGGGTCCTTCTCGGCTGGCTCGGGTTCCTAAGTGCGATATCCTGCTCTTCTCCCCCCGCTCCCCTCCTTCACGATAGTTTCTAGGCTTATTAGATTTAATCATCTTTTCTAAGTTCTAGTCAATATTACACTCATCCCGAACAGATTCAGCTAAATGATCTTATCAATAGTTTCGAAGAGAAGTGACAGAAAGAAGAAGTGTTTTGTGACCGCAGACGTGCTGACGGGTAAAATGTTGAAGCTGGGTATGGATTTAAAAGTCCTTGGTCAATAGCCCGCGGAACGGGCTGCGGAAAGCGAGCAGCCTCTGCCCTCTGCAGGACACTCGGGTGGGCGCCCAGGGAATATTTCGCCTTTGACGGCAGGGCCCCGCGATCGGGGAGCGCTCCCGTGTCGGGTGGACAGGAGGTGACTTGCACGGCCGGTGCTTCGCTCGGCGGGGCGGGCCCGGCGCCGCGGGGATGGCCGGCTCGGCCGGTGGCGGGGTGGCCGCTGCTCGGGGCCCGGCCTGCCCCGGCTGGGGCCCCGGGGCTGCTCCTCCGGGGCTCCTTGCCCAGCGAGAGGCTGACCTTACGGGAGCGACCTTCCGGACTGGTTGTGGGGAGGCCGGCTGGTTCGGGGGTCATTCTTTTTATCTCTTTCGATCTCCCTTTTAAGAGAGAGGAGAGGGGGAAATGGAGCAGCCATAGGATGCTCTTTCTTTAGATGGATGTCAGGGTGTGTGCAGCTCCTCGGGCTCCCTCGCTCTCAATTCCGGGCAGGGACACTCTGTCGTAGGTCAGATGTCAACAACAAAAGCCCTGTTTCCTCGGTTCGCGCTCTCTCTGGTGGAGGCCGAAACTGGGAGGCAAGAGGAGAGTGTATATCCTCAAGTCTGTCAGTCTTGATTGTCATCCCCAGTGTCTCCAGCCCCGCAGGGGCGAGAGGCAGTAGTCGGTGCTGCCCGACCCGGGGAGCTCCCGCCGCCGCCCAGCTGCGCCGTCTTTCTTGAGAGTGGGCAGTGGGGGCCGGGGATTGGAAAGAGAGAGGCGGAGGAAGGCGAAATCATCCTACAAATTCCCCAGGCTGCGGGGCAGGCCGGGATGGTGTCCGGCCAGGGGTTACTCTCGGGCTGGGCAGCTTGTGAGAGCCCCGGTGGGGGCAGAGGCCGCGGTGTCGCTCCGTCGGGCTTTGTTGGCGGCAGTTCGGGGCTCCCCCCGTGTCCCCTCTCCATGCTCCGACTTCCGAGCGCGCTTCTGGCCGTCGCCGGGCCGCGGGGGTAGGGCGGGACGGTCCCGGCTGCCTGCGCCTTCCCGGCCTCCTGCCCTCGGCCTCGGACCGGCAGCCTGGGGCTGCTTCCTGCCCTCCGGCTGATCCGATGGGGGAAAACCCTCTCCCCCGGCTGCCCACCCTGCCTGCCGGGCGGCCCTAGGCCTCGGGGTTGTCCCAAGCCGCGTTGTCGGAGGTTTGGTGGTTCTTTGTTGCTGTGCCGTCGGTCTGGGGGACAGAGGGAATGCTGACCCGGCCGGGGAAGGCTGGCGACGGCCTCCGGTGGGCGATGGGGCTCGGGGAAGAGCGATCAGTGGCGGGCGGGAGAGCTGGGCTTTGTACGGCTTAAACTTAAACCTCTGGCCGTAGATACAGCACTGGGGGAGGGTGGCGGGCATGGGGGATCCCCCCCAGCCCGAGCCTGGGCAGCGCCTTGCGGAGCAGGGAGCGGGGGGTGAGGAAAGAAGGAAACTGCCCGAGGGTTTTTGGCGGTGGACGGGGCAGCGACGGCCTTCTGCTGCGTCCAGAACGGAGCCTGGGCGTTGGGGTTTTTCTTGGGAATCGTGGCTCTCCCACCTCCCCTGCTCCTGCGGGCGGGTGTCTATTTATTGTGCGTTTCGGAAGGGACGCGACCCGGGCTGCCTCTCTTGCTTTAAATCTGGAGACGGAAAATATAAAAATCAAAATTTTCAGAGTTGCAGATGCTAAGTTGGCACTCTGTGCTCAGAGCATGGCCGGGCTGCCGTCGGGGATGTAGGAAGATGTTCCGCAAAAGTGAGTTTGCCCCTGGCTCGGACGGGCGATGCTGAGGGAGCGGGCACTTCTCCAGGGAAAATTAGTTAGAGCAAAGCCAAAGCGTGCTTTAGCAGAAATGGTAAAACAAAAAGACCTGTCTTCAGACTGGACTTCTTATCAAACTATAAACCAAACAAGTGGGCTCTCCGGCAGGCGAGTCCCAGCTGCAGCGCTGGAATTCTCACGCCGCAGTCGGCCTCGGCCGGTGGCCTGGCCCAAGCTGCGGGTCTCTTCCTTCGAAGCGTTTATCTCTTCCTGCAAACTCCCTGTAAATACCTCCGAAACTCGGCCAAGTGCCCCGAGTAAACCGGGATTTCGCGCAGGGCCCTCGGGGCCGGGAAGGCCGCCCGTGCCGGCGCGGAGCCCCTTCCCCGCAAGCCCGGCTCCGCAGCGGCCCGGTGCCAGCGCCGCCTGACCCGGGCATCCCCGCGGGACGCAGGCGTCGGATCCTGCCCTTCCGTCGGCGGGCAAAGGGAGAGAGGCATGAGGCAAGGACAGCGGCAGCAGAGCCGCCGAAGCTGTGCCGGCGTTGCCGGGAGGAGCGGCGGGTCGGCGGCGGGCGCTGCTCCCCGGCTGGGGAGGGGGTCCCGGGACCCCTTCGCCCCAGGGAGACCGCGGTTTTAGCCCGTGCCTGCCTGGCCCCCTCCGTGCCCCTGCCGGGCAGAGCCGCTGCCGGCCCGGAGCAGGAGCTCTGCCTCCCTCCGCGGGTGGGGATGCAGGGCGTGGGGGCCGCCCGGGAGCCCCGTGACTGCTCCGGCAGCGCCGGGGCCGTGCGGGCCGTCCCAGCGCCGGGCTCCGCTCCCGCCCCGCTGCGGCTCTCCCGGCCGTCTCGCAACGTCCCGCCCGGCCGGGCTGAGCTGTACCGGCCCGTGTGTCCCTGGGCCTGTCCGCACAGATACCATTTTAAGGATTAAAAAGAGAGCAGGCCGGGAGGAAGTTGGCGGCCGGTGTTTCTCCCCCTCCTCCTCGCACGGCGGTAAATCCTGGCAGGCAGAGGCAGCTTGTAAAAGTGATGACGAGACCGCTCTCCCCCTCCTCTTCCCCGTCCCGTCTCCTCCCGTCCCGGGAGTTGTAAGAGGCGCTCGTCTAAAAGTTAGGACTTGTTTTTAGCCAGCCTGACTCATTCATTAATTCTCCTTCCCTCCTTGATTCATTCATGTCTACAGTCATTCATTGCCAAGTCCATGGAGGCATCAGCTCCTTGGTCAGTAGGGGAGACGTACAAACAAGGATGGTGCTATTTATTTCCCTCTGCCTGTGGATTTCTAAGACGTTCAAGCAGGCACAATCATTAAACTAATTTGTATTTGATTGTTTGGGCGGACGGGGGTGAATTTTATTGCACTAAGCATTCAAGCACGCACGCATCGCTGATTACCAGTATACATTAAATAAAGTTGTTTGTACACATTGTCTTACCACATATAGGCAGTCTTATTATTCTAATTACTCTAATTAGTGCATTGAAATGTTTTCTACTTGATTTGAGGAGACAGTGATTAGTTCTATCACTTCTTTTAACTCTTATTTCATGGAAAACTGTTGATGCATGTTCCAATTACCTTGTTTTTCTCTTTAATATAGCGTGGGCCAAAAATATTAAGAAATTATATCGTTGGCGGGTAGAAACATCCATCTATTTTCGCTTTCTAAAAGAACTTCCATTTTTTTTGTATCCACCACCACCAGGATAGAACACCCCCAAAGCGGTCACAAGTAATTACTTCTAGTCAAAGCAGCACGTTTCTTCTTTACTATTTCTTCTGCTAGTGCTTTGTGGTTGTAGCATTAACCTTTTTAATTTTTTTTTTTCCTAAAAAGAAAAAAAGGAATCTGACATATACTTCACGCAAAGCTATTTAATAAGTTTTAAATTAGGGTTACTATTAATTGATAGGATCAGTTCATCAAACATATTACTTCGATAGGGGATTGTAATTAAAACCTTAATCCCGTTTGAGACTTAGTTTTGTCTTAAACACTTTCTTGAGGGATTTTTCCCCCCTTTTCCTTGGCAGTTGCCGCTTGAAGCACGGTGGGGGTACAGAGTGGAACCCAGACCCCACCAGAGCAGGGAGGTTATTTCGTTATCGAAATACCCATCTTCACTATTGAGCCAATTGAGGTTTTGTGTCGAGTTTTGGGATGTGTGTGTGTTGGCCTTTTGTGTTGATGTGGCGGCCACTTAAACCCAGACGGTGACAAAGCGGGCCGCGGGGATGGAATCTCGCCTTCCTTTCACGTTACAGACAGGGAGACTGGCTGTTTCTGTGCCATAAAAATACTGCTTTTTTGTTGGCTTTTCCCCCCTCCTCTTCAGGTTAGTTTGTTAAATAAATACGAAGGGATGGGGGGAAAATAAAGAAAGGGTGGGGGAAGGAAAAAAAGGAAGAAACGCAAACCATCCCTTAAATTCTTGGAAGTCCAGGTCTGGAGGGAAATCTATGGAGTTACATAGGTAAATATTGGGCCTAGGCTGCTTATACTTTTAATATTTAAACTGGGATTATAGGGGATCTAAAGACGCCTTCCTAACCTTTGCCAATTGCCTGTGCGAGGAGAAATCCCGCAAGATGCACAAAGGGGCGAGACGGCTTCCCACTGCTTCTGATAAACGACTCCGCCGCTGGTGTGGCTGGGGACCGACTGTCCCCAGGGCCGGGGCTGACGGGGGACAGGCAGCGCTGGGCTTTGCAGGGTGTTTGAAGGCGGGGGTCCTGTCCCTGCTTCCCGCGGAGCATCGTCTAGCCCCGCTCGGTGGGCCGGGCCCAGCGCTGGCAGCGCTCCGGTCCGGGGGAAGGCGCCACGGGCCGGGGCCGGGATTGGGGCCGGGAGCGGGGCCGGAAGCAGGGTCGGGAGCGGGACCGGCATTGGGGCCGGGATTGAGGTCGGGAGAGGGGCCGGGAGCGGGGCCAGGATTGGGTAGGGAGCGGGATCGGGAACGGGGCCGGGATTGGGGTAGGGAGAGGGCTCGGAATTGGGGCCGGGATTGGGGCCGGGACCACGCGTGGAGCTCGGGCGCCCCCCAGCGGTCGCCGCAGCCGCCGCGGGTACTCCCCCGGGAAGGGCATCCAGCATCCAGCATCCGCATCCCAAATCCCGCATCCCAAATCCCGCAACCTACATCCTGCATACCGCATCCCCCTCCCCGCCCCCAGGGCCCGCGCTCTCCCTATGCGCAAGGGCGGCGGGGCCGGCCTCAGGGACACCCGTCGGAGAGGTCGCTGGAGCCCATGGTGCCTCTGGGAAGGGGTTGACAAAGTCGTGAGTACGCTTGTTGTCTTCCCTTCCTTTTTAATTTAATTTTTTTCGTGGTTTGGTTTTGGTTTGTTTGATTTGCTTGGGTTTTGTTTGTTGTTTGTTTGTTTTTATGTTTTGGGGGGGTTGTTTGCTGTTTTTTAAACATACACACAGAAACATCTAAATCCCATATTAAAAGTGTTGCTTGTCGTCTGGATGGGATTTAAAAAAAAAAACAAAAAACAACAACAAAAAAAAACACCACCCAACAAATCCATGGTCTATTTGCAAGCCCTGAAAACCGGGAGAGATGCCATTTGCCTTCCCTCCTCCTCCCGCTGGGAAGATGTGCAGTCCCTTAGACTGGCAATCGCTCTTCCAGTTCAGGCATGTTGGATAACAGGACAAAGCTCTGTCACTTCTCCGTGGCACAGAAGCAGACCCATGGCATGGTGCCGTGGAGGGGGACACCTGTGGGGCTCGGCTCTTCTGTCCACGCTGTGTGAGAGCAGTGTAGCTCCTGCTCCTGCCCTCAGGCTTGCAGGGAAGTGTGAGCCCAGGGCCAGGCATCCCGCAGGCTCCAGGAGCTGTTCCCTGCCTGCCGCACATCCCCGGCAAGCAAGGGCACAGACGGGGCAGTGGGACTGGGGTAGGTGCCAGGGCCCTGAGCACACCTCTGCCAGTGCCTTCCCACAGAGCTCCCTTCTTCTGGGAAGGCTGGAGACTCAAATCCCACCATTTCACCAAATTGCTTCTGTTCTTGCTGAAGGCAAACCACCCCACATGCCAGACCGGTGTCACCAAACGCCTCCGAAAACCCGCAACAACCCAAAACTCTCCTTCGTTGGATGAACCCCCAGTTTCCCAGGAACAGAGATCTGGGGACAGCCCTGGTGTCCTGCAGGGCCTTTCTCGTGCTGGCTGGGTGCTCTCTTGTTACGCCCAGGCCGTCTGAGGCGCGGCAGGAGTTGGGCTCTGTATGGCCCCGCACCCGCGGCAGCACGGGCTGGTACCACCACACAGGTTTACATCTTGTGTTTATTTCAGTGCCGCCGGTTTGCAACTACCACTTGCCATGCTGTGTATGTAGGTGCTGAAAATGTTAAAATATTGTGAATATCAAGAACCCAAGGCATTCAGACATTCTGCTGCAGCAGACTTCATTGCACTGAAAACTGATAAGTGACATATCACGATCTCGGAGTCTCTTGTTAACTCAACAAGCAAATTGAGCTGAAACAAAACAAAACAAAACATCCAAGACAGATTAATTTTAGAAAGAAATAAGCATTCTGCACAGAGCTAATCACACTACAGGCAGCCAATACTGTAGCACTGAGCAGACATGGGAGAAAAGCACCTGTTTTCCAGCTGAACATCAATGCTGGACTTGTTCATATAACAGAAAGGAGATGCTGTGGGTACCGCAGGAATTGGAAAGGTAAGCTATGGCTACATCTTCAACTACAGACCAAGTCTGTGTCCATCCTACCTGTGGAGACAGCTCTGTTCACAGTAGGCAAAAAACTGTAAGGTCCAGCCTCCAAAAGGAAAAGCTGGCTTTGTCCCAGGGACCCTTCCTAAACCAGCCGATAAGTAAGGATTGATTTATTTGCTAATAGGTCTGAGGAGCTGGTGAACATTGGCGTTTTGCATATTAATTTTGCATACATGCTCAGTATATATATCATATCCCTAACCCGCAGTTTTTAATTTTGGGTGGAATTGAGGCCTTTAGCTTAAAGCACTCCCTCATTTAATCATCATGAATGTCTGCCTCTTTGGACTGGGCAAGAAAGAGGAGACAACCCAGCCTGCCCACATGCCTTGTGTAGCCAGCCAAGAGAGGTGAGTGTTTCAGAGGTCCTGCAGAGAAGCTCTCAGTTCATTTGGCTTTGGTCCTGTCTCCCCTCCAGCTGACCATTCAGAAATACAGGCCCAACCACAGTAGGGGCCAGGCCACTTGAGGTTTTATATCCATAGATTAGATTTCATTCCCCTTCACTTCCCACAGGCTGTGCCCACAAGGCTGAAATCAATCTCCCTCTCCCCTGCCTGGCACAGCACTGTGACTCCTGCCCTCCTGCCTCTGCATCTCTAGTGAAAGGGCAGAAGGGGGCTCACCCTGAGAACGCACACATAACCCAGCAGCTAAGCCTCAGCTGCACCTTCAGCTAATTCCCCTTGGCCTGAATCCAAGGCTTCCCACATTCCAGCACTGCTCTACTGCCAGACTTGGACCTATCTCTCACCAGAGGAAATCAGGCTAGCTGCAGTAGGCTCCTGCTAGTCCCAAACACACAGCCTGCATGGCCACAGGCAGGGGAAAGCACCGTCATTTACATGTGCTGAACGACTTCTAGTTAAGGAAAAATTCAGCGGCAACCAGAGAGTCTGGGGTAAGGACACACGGTGGAGATTGCAGGAGACCTTAGAGGCAGGGGCTGCAGCAGCTGTGAGTGTTGTAAAACACGAATAACAGCCTCATTGAAATGTTACAATTCCAAGCTGTTACCCAATACAGAAGAGCATCCCAAGGGAATATGGACCATTTTCTCATATCTGTTTTCAGACAAGATACAGCACAGCTATTTCTCGGCCAGAGGGAACAGCCTCTGCCTTCCCTGGATAGATCCTGCTGTTGTGTGTGAACAGAGCCACAACAGATATGAATCATTCAGCAGCAGACAGAAAGATGCAAGAAGCTGGAATTCCCTCACTCTTCCAAATTTAAGCTCATTACTTTAGGAGACTTCTGGGGAAAAAGTGTTTTTTGTAAGGAGACAGTGTGGTTCTGAGGAAAAGATATGCTAGGGAGCAAGGCAGTAAATGTACTCTTCCTTGCACAGACAGAGGAGACTGTATGCATTCACTTAGTCTCCTACAATATTTAAGGGAAGTGAAAGATGTAAAAACTGCCTAAGGACTGTATATTTAGGAAAAGGCAAAAAGAGGGGTTGTAACCCCACGCCCTCACAAATGACTTCTTCCTATCAGGGCACAGACAGCACTCAATCATTATCTGGACATCCTTAATCCGTGCCTCCTTTACAAAGATCTGCCACTTTGAGCGGAGGAGACACAGATGTGAAAGCCTCTACACCTTTTGGAGAGCAGCATCAATCAATACTTTAACTTGAAAGCTGCCATAATTCTCTGAAAATACTGAATTATTTAAAAGTATAGATATAAAAACATCAGAGCAGCATTGTAGATCTCTCAGTTTGATCAGTGCCCACAACATTTTGATCTTAAAAATTCTTTCTCTTAGCCAATTCAAAGATAGTGATTTGCTCTTGCATAACGTTTTTCTCCATGAGTCTCATTAGTAACAGATACAGTAAATACTACCTGGTGACACAAAAATGGAAAATTAATCAGAAGTGTTTTAAAACTCCTCCCCAGGTCCAGCAGCAGCCACAGGATGGACAGAAACAGTCCAGGGCACCTGAAGGCTATGTCCCACCATTTTTCTTCCCTTCCACAATCATTTTAAAAAGAGGGCCATCTTATACTCAGCACTAGGCGGGGGTTCTAGAAAAGATACCTGCTGGGGGAATGAAAGTTACTGCAAGGCATTGTGTCAAGTCTATCAATGAATGTTATGGGGGAAAAAGATAGACATATGTTGAAAATAGCATGTCATCACCTTCAATGAACCCTCCCTGTGACAGCTAGATAATTTTGCAGACAAACCATTTGCAATTACTAAGCAAAAGCAATGGCAAAAACACAATGAGGATTTCTCTAAACAGAGATACCACACAGTAACTTCTCTGAAGTTTATCCCAAACACTGCAATTTTCTTCTAGATTCTTCTATGATAGGCCTTCTGTGCTATAGTAGTGTTAACATTTATTATTAAACACGGGTACTAGAAAAGATAACCCAAGCAGATTGCCAGTCACATCTTTCTGTCACATTGAGTGTAGTTTTTAAATACAGACAATTTAATGCTTATTATATATATATATATTTTTTTTTTTTTTAATATTTTGCCTGTGGTACACTTTGAGCTCTGAGCTTGTAGCCAGTTAACAAGGCTGAATCTAAGCATGATTCATTCTTTTCACAAAGAAATCACGGAGACTGCATCACTGGCCTCCACAACTGCATTTAGGGACATATTGGCCTGAAGTTTGAACTTAAATTGTTTGTGCATTTGCATCCACAGGGACGGACATGACCTTGCTACAAAAATGCTGCTGCATTTATTTTACCTTCTGAGGATACCTCTATTTAAAGTTCAAAACTGCCTGGTCACGGCTTCAGGGCATTTTTATTTCTAGCTCTAAAAAATTATGAGGGAACGCATTATGTTAAAATCTGTTTGTAATAATAAATGCCTACATTGTATATAATAACATTTGATTTTACCAGTGAATAAACAATTGGAGCATGCATGGTATCAGATCTGCAGTGTTCTGTTTAAATTTCAGTCAAGATTGCCAATTGCATTGCAAAGTAACAGAGATAAGTTTGCATTTTTTAATGTTTTCACAGAACACTAAACTTTCCTCCCTCTGTCTAGACATAAAGCAGGTAAAAGTATGGGCATGGAGAACACCTAACTCCTTAAACTGCCCAAATAATAATGCACATCTGCAAAATAATAATGTAAAGAAGTGTATTACAGGCTCTCAGGCATTAAAGTCTGCAAATCCTGAAATATTTTGAAATCTGGCTTGACCTGTGTAGGGTTTTTGCACTACTGGAAGTGCCCCACAGAGGAAAGACAAATACCCGACACAGATTTTTGTGTGAATTTTCAATACTTTGAAACTGTGAAACAGGTATCATGAGAAACAAGGCCACCAGAAACAATGCCTGAAACTGTACTTTAGCATGTGTCAAAAGTCAGCTGTGTTTTCTCCAAATGCAAAGAAGCCAGGT